TAAAAATACTTTATAAGGTGTAAAAAAACCTTAAAAATACTTTATAAAATTAAATTTGACATTCTCCTGATATGTATCGTTTTGTCATTTTCTACTGCCTCTTTCAAGCCACCATCGCCTCTTTCCTACAATTGGATTAGTGAACACATATATTCCCACACAACAAGAACAAACCCACTAAGACAAAAGCAGTAGANCCAAGTGACTAGACAAATCNCATAAANCATCAAAGGAATAATACAAGCAATGTATAGACCACTCTCCTCCAAACCAAAACCTCAAAAAAAAAAAACTTGAGCTTTGTGTTTTCCAGTTACAAAAATCGTGTCTCAAATCGTCAAAATATACACATCCTCTAGAGAAATCTCAAAATCAGAGTTGGTGTATCGTCGGCGCTACGATTCAAAACCCAGATCCGAGAGATCCAAATTAGATACCAAGACATAAAGATGAGAAATCGAGCACCATGGATGAAGAAGAGAACGCGGCAATCGCAGATCCAAAAGGTTGTTTTCTTCTGGAACTGCTCAAAAGGTCCATAGCCATGGCGGTTCCATAGAGGAAGAAGACGAGGTAAGTAAGCAGATCTAGGATCTATAAGAAGAGCTACGGTTTATGTGTTTTGTGAGTAGAGGTGGGGTTTACGGTGGCAGTAACGGTGGCGACCGTACTGTCTCGACTCCGGCAGAGAGATCTCTAGAAATTTTGTCGAGAGCAGATCGAGATTAACGAGAGATGAAGAAAACTAGGGTTATTAACGAGAGATTGTGTTTTGTGACAGGGCAAAGTTGTCTGTTTTCGTTAATTATGTGGCAAAATTGTAAANGCGGTAGNTNAAGTGNNACGCTTGTAAAGTGGGTTTGGGTTTGTGGCATTTTTGCAAATCTCCCATAAATAAAACGTAACTCTTTTTGTCAATAAATTTATAAACATTGTCATGCGGAAGTATTCGAACATTTCTTGATAATTTAGAATTCAAAATTTGAATATGAAATGAAGAGATAGAAAAATGTGTAAATAAATTTTTTTTTTTGGTTTTTTTTGTCAACAAGCTTACTTCATTCATTTAACCGATTAAAGTACAAAGAGAAGAAATTCAGCATCCTCCAAGGTTACTACAACATAATTGAAAAGAAATACAACATAGAGTAGATAGATCACCGCAAAAGATAGACAGCGAATCCAAAACATGTCTCAGATGCGTCAAGAGAGTCTTCGTGGCAAAGCCGGAGAATCTCAGGTTAATCACTTTCCAGTGTGACTTTGAAGATACTGGCATAGAGCTCAAGGAATTCCTTATTCTTTGTGAATTCTTCTAGATGTGTTAAAAATATTATCATTTCGTTGTTTGATGAAACAATCAAAGTAAATTAAGTATAAAAATATCGCTTATGATCACTTGCATGATTTATCTTTTTTTACCGTGGAACCATTTCGTACACATATAGATTTCGGTTTGTAAATCTAAAATCATTTTCATTTCTAATGAAAATATTTACATTTTAGCAAA